GGGGGGGGGGGGGGGGGGGGGGGCAGATATTCACATATTCGTGTTCTGCCCAATTAATTTATTTTGAAATCGATTGTTTTCACAGTCTGTGAACACGAATATATGAATATCTGCCCCCGCTATTATCGATATTCCAGTGCCTCTGTTGCCAAGGTATGGGAAAAGCACAACTTGATATTACTAATTACCACCTGCATATATCCTATCTGAGAAATCTCGCACTTGGTGGAACACTAGAAGGGTATGCTAAAGCCAATATTACGCCATACATACACTCAATGGTTTACCATGTCCCTCGCTTCATGAAAATGCACAATGGAGTAAAACAGTTTTCTGGACAAGGTAACTATGAATAGTTTTTATTATTAAATCTGAATCTGGGTAACATTTTTATAATTTCATACAAAATATGTTAGCATTAATAGTGATATACTTGGTCAGTGTAAGTTACAGACAATAATTGTAATGGTGATGCAATTTCGACGGTGATTGGCTCAGAAAAAAACCAGACAATTCTCAATATCTTGCCACCTGCAACGACATTGAAAATTGTCTTGGGACTTGATTTTGAATGTGAATTGTTAAATTACCAATTATATAATAAAAAATTATTGAATTTGACTTTTGCATGATATCAGGAATTGCCCAGACCTTGGTCAATGTTATCTGCCTTCGACTTTGGCAGATAACATTGAACAAGGTCTGGATAATTCTTGATATGCTCAGCCTCTTTCAACAATTGTTAAATTAAATGATAATCATTGATGTGTACTGTAGGTGTTGAGAAGTTGAACGATACTTGCAGAAGAATCCACCTTGAAAAATCGAATAAGTGGGATGCAGCCAAGCATGTTCTTATGGCCGAAGAGCGTCTTGGAGTTCGAAGTGATTTAGAAAGAACGCCCAGATCATAGTATTGGTCAAACAAAATCAGGGAAAGTCGAAGTAAGCGACCTCAACTGTGCAGAGAGGAAGAGGTTGCCAATGGATTAGAACATATTTCTTCGCTAACGCCAGAGATACTCAAAGAACGGTTGAAGAACTTAGGAATCACCACAAGAATGAGAAAGCAAAGCAGGTTGTTGGATATGTATAAAGTTGCTTTGCAATCACAACCACACTAATTAATATGCTAGGCCTTGTAAATATACTTTATTATAAATCTTTCAACAATATAATATAACAATACAATATTTAACTGTTTTATATATGCACTTATCAATGTTATAAAAAATGTCACTGTTCATTCAAATTTTTATGAAGTTGGCATTCTACAACCTAACACACTTATATTGGTCTCCCAGTATGCATCCTTACCCCATACTGATACAAAATAGTTCTAAATGTCAATTAGTCCCACTTTGAATCCAAAATACTTTATAAAATCATTAATAATTAATGAAGAAAATTCAAAAGAAATGAATGTTTAATTAATGTTTGTAAATCGCATAAAGATTTGTCCTGATTTACATAAACTTCAGCTTTGATTTTCTCGGCTTAGACAATATTTATTTTTAAAATTACTTTGTCAATGAACTCATAAGATGGGTCGTTTTATAAGCGCGATAAAACATGAGCAGCCGATCTTTATCTGATATACAAACTCAGATAATAATCGGCTGCTCATGTTTTAACTAGTACATAAAAATTCACAGAGGTGGGAATGGAATAAATAGTAAATGGGCAAAATTAAATTATAAATTCTGAATACCACACGCTTTCCTTACAAAATGAAGTGAGACTTTTTCAATTGGCATCCTTGGTGCTTTCTGGAGTTTGCCATTCATTTTACAGTATCGTGATGGAGACCATGATACCATGGGTTTTGCCTTGATTGGAAAATCTATCCCTTTGCCTTCCCCATGCTCATTTAAGCAGTAGTACCAATCACTTGGTAAAGTCTCAAAGTCTTCTTTTTGATACAAAGTGTATTCTTTGTGCTCGGAAGCAGCACCTCTGTTGAATGTTAAATAACACCACACATCAAGATCCATATTTATAACTGCTGCTGCCATTGACTTTCCTTTCAAGCTTGTTTGGATGGCATTTAAGAAATCACCGCTTGCAATTTCTAGTCTAATAGGAGTAGGTTTCAGTGGTTTCAGGTAGCTCCTACCAAATAAATAACATATATTAAAAAAATGGGTATCACAATTGATGGTTGGTGATTACATTTTGAAGCAAAATTAATAAATAAATGTATAAATAACTTTATCTAATTGCATGCAAACAGTACTTATGATAAAATACTCAAACTGTTAGTTGTCATCAGACAACTTCTACTTACAATCAAACCATTAACTATGACCTTTGGAATCCATATAACCTTGGATTCCTATAGTCCTATAAAGATATGTAATAAAACAAAAACCGAGAGTACAGTACCTCAAAAGATTTCCAGTTAAATTTTGGGATGGTACCCACGAGCAATAATGGAAGGGCCATCCCTTCCATTTCAGAAGATATTCATACAATACAATACAATAAAATTTATTAGGTTCCCCGAGAGGATCTTCATACCTAATTTACACGATTAAATATCTGAAATTATACAATATTATAAACTAGTTATTTATATACTATAAAATTAAGCAAGCCAACTTCTAAGAAGATGGCTTCTCAAACTACGTTTAAAACAGTTCAGGCTGGCTAAATCACGGAGCTCAGATGGCAATGAGTTCCATATCACCGCGCCTCTATAACAAAATGAATTCTGAGCCAGTGCAGTGCGGCACTTTGCTAGATTCAGGTCATTGGTGTTCCTTGTATTATAATTATGAATGTCTGATCTTTTTTGAAACATATTAATCAGGTAATTCGGTGCTTGATTATTCATGCACTTAAACATTTGAACACCGTCTCTAAGTCTAAAAGCCTCGGATACTGGAAGTAGTTTTAACTCTTTGATGGTGGGTGTAATATGTTCATATTTCCTCTTTCCTGACAACAGGCGGGCTGCAAAGTTTTGCACTTGTTGAAGTTTAGCAAGATTTGATTTGCTAGTACCTGACCATACCGAGGAGCAGTAGAATAACTTTGTAAAAACAAGCGAGTTAATTACAATGAAAAGTGTAGATTTGTCAAATAGGTGACGAATTCTACTAATCATTGCTAACTTGCCCATAAGATCGCTTGTTAAAGCGTCTGTGTGATCGTTAAATGATAAATGTTTGTCTATTATCATTCCGAGGTCCTTCACCGAATCAACGACAGGTAATTCCTTCCCTAGAAACGTTATCGGCGGGATAATTGTCTTCGCTAGCATTCTATTAGAGCGACCCTGTTCAATTATGACCCTGTTCAAGTAAAAGACCAGAGTTATATTTTCAGATATTCAACTTACACACATTACTTTACATCAGCGTTGTTTACACAACAGCTCTGCGATCTATGAGTGACTATATATGACACTGTTTACACATTACAGCATATCAAATAAACAACACAAGTTTAAAAAAAACTTTGAATGTTTAGCACTTACATGTAGTATAGCCCTGCGTATTATATTTCTTTCGACTTCATAAAAACGACCACGATATTTTTTACGTACACTGCCATACAAAGTTGCAGATGAAAAGTTATCCAGTTGCTTATAGTCAATAGAAAGGCTTAAGCTTCACTTTGTTGGCTCTCTAATTCCCGACGCCATCTTGTTTTCAGTGTTTGTGTGGATTACCGCTGGTCTTGGTTGAGGCGCATGTCCGCAATTTCTGGCCATGTTTAGAGAAAACTAACAGCGTTTTGGAAGTATTTCAAGAAAAATCTCTAGCTATTTAGTAATTTTAATCAAACACAACAAATATGAGAACAATAAAATAAATAAACAGCATCGACAAGTATATTTTTAGTTCGCTTCATTTCATATTTATGTCTCCTTTTAAATGAATAAAAACACACTTTTTCAGATAAAACTATAAATCTGTGGCTGCTATAATGGTATTAATTTTATGTCTATAATTCTTCCTGGAAGTCCTGGCCATATTTCTGACTGCTTTAACAGTAAAAACATTGTCGTCTAGCTACGTCCTTGCTTACACTGTCTCATTTTTTAGGTGAGGGATTGCCCAGTTTGTGGACAGAGCAAAAGTAACATTGTTAGCCATCTACAAAGAGTGCACAAAAAGACCCACCGTGATGCCCTCAATTTATCGCAGAGCATGAGAAAGACTAAAGCAAGCACCAAAAATTTTTGGACCGAGTGCCATGTCCAATTGAAACTTGTAACAAACCAGTGAAAAGACTTGACAAGCATCTAAAAACTGTGCATAAACTTAAACCTAGTTTGCCAAGTTTTATTCCGTGAGTTTTAACATGGAACATTACTAAATACATTAATCTTGCTGCTAATTAATCTAGCATAGCACATAATGTTGTGCTCATTGTAGTGGTAGTTGAGATATAGTATTTTGAATTTCTCGCATGGTTCTGTGTGAATAGCGAGAAGAACAAGGTTAAAGTCATGACAAGTAATACAAGTACGGTACTTGACAAGTATGGGTTAGAGGACAAAAAATTGCCCGGAGTAATGAAGGTTTCTAACAAATGCAGCAAAGATAGATGTGTCAAAAGTTGCTGTGCAGCAAACTGTGGAATGATTCAGAAAAATAAATCCTATTCCACTCTACGAAGGTCTGGGAGACCGAGGTGTACTACATCACAAGAGAATCGGTACATCAAAACAACTTCTTTGTGTAACAGAACTGCCAGTCTTCCATTCAGTCTTCCATTCAGTGATCCTTCAAGATATCGATATAGCACATCGAATACCAGCGAGAAGATCTACAGACCGTCCTAACGCAATAATCTGCAAGTTCGTTCGCCGCCTGGCAAGGGAAAAAGTAATGTCGGCAAGAAGGGGAGTAAACAACCTACGCCCAAACCAAGTTGGACTTCCCCCAAATTCGCAACTTAACAACGTCAACATCTACGATCATCTCAGTCCACACGTACAAGAACTGTTGTATGAGGCTAAGAAATATCAAAGGGTAAATCATTTCCAGTACTGCTGGGTGAGAAACAAGAAAACGATCTGCTTACGCAAGTCTGAGGCGGATGAAATAATTAAACTGAACAGTCTACAAAATTTACTTGCATTGTAGAAAGAAGAATCTACTGGAACACGAGCTAAGTGATCTCTATTATGAATTAAATGGCATCTGATAGTATAGATATGGGGTTAGTTTTCCCCTTTAATCATCTAGATGACACTCTTTTCTCTACTGCTTTGCACGAGATGTCGCACGGTGCTTTAAATTATGATTATAATCGCCTAGAAACTTTAGTATTCAACCCTATTGAACAAATAACTTCAAAATTCAACCATCCTCTAGCCTCTAGTCTTGATCCAGATTTAAATTTCTTTGAATACTCATTGCCCAAAAGTAACTATATGGTTGAAGATGAAGTAAATAACCTAGATAGTACGAAGCAATATGATTCCAGTTTCTCTTTATTGCACCTAAATAGCCGTAGTTTAGTTGGCAATTTTGATAAATTTCAATCTTTAATAGCCAGCTTGAACAATGCATTCTCACTTATTGGGGTTACTGAAACTTGGTTAAATGATCAAACATCTGATACTGTAAATATTCCTGGTTATCATTTTATCTCCAACCATCGTAAACATAAAACTGGCGGTGGAGTCGGTATTTACTTACGAAATATTTTTCAATACAAAGTACTTCAAGACTGCACAATATCTAATCCTGAAGTAATCGAATCTCTGTTTGTTGAAATTTGTAACCCCCTTGGGAAAAACACCATAGTCTGTACAGTCTACCGACCACCTAATCAAAATCTTAATCACTTTATGGATGAATTAAATAGAATTCTCTCAACAATTTCTAAGGATAATAAGAACTGTTATCTGATGGGTGATTTCAACCTTGACTTGCTACGTTATGAGGAACACGCGGTCACTCAGGAATTCATAGATTCCTTGTTTTCTTACATGTTCATTCCAATTATTACTAGACCCACACGCTTAACTGCACACACTGCCACACTTATCGACAATATATTCACAAATTGTCTCACACAGAATATTACAAATGGGATTATCATTAATGATATCTCTGATCACCTACCAATTTTTGCATCTTTTAACAACGAAAAACTTCCGTATACTAAGACTTTAAAAACAAATACGCGTGATTATAACGATACAAATTTTAACAATTTTCAATCTTGCCTTTCGCAAGTTAACTGGTCAAGTATTCTTACTGACCAGGACCCTAACAAAATGTTTGAAATTTTTGTCTCAGAATATAGTAGACATTTTGAAGACTGCTTTCCTCTTAAAACAATAAAACGCAACAACCCAAAAAAACCAAAATCTCCGTGGATAACTAAAGGTTTATTAGCTTCAGTCAGGAAAAAAAATAGATTATATAAGAAGCTGTTAAAACATCCAACTTTGATACGTGAAACCCAATATAAAACCTATAAAAACAAACTAAATCATCTGATCAGAATTGCAAAGAAAATGTATTATGACGATAAATTTCAATTGGCCAAAAACAATCTGAAAGAAACCTGGAAACTAATAAATGAAGTCACCAACAAGAAAAAATAGAAACAATCCTTACCGTCTACATTTCAAGTTGGCGATCGATTAGTTACTGACCCTACTGAAATCGCCAATGGGTTTTGTAAGTTCTTTTCAAACATAGGCCCATCTTTAGCAAATAAAATCCCGGCTGTAACCTCATCTTTTAGAGACTATTTAGGACCCACCAACAGTGAAACAATATTCTTAAAACCAACTTCCTTGACTGAACTAAGACAAATTTGCATGTCATTCAAGACCGGGAAAGCCCCAGGTTATGATAATATTCCCATGCATCTTATCAAAAATTCTTTTGAATACATCGTTGATCCTTTAATGCATTTGATTAACATATCGTTAGAGACAGGGGTCTTTCCAGATAAATTAAAAATGGCCAAAATAATCCCTATTTTTAAAGCAGATGATCCACAATTATTTAAAAATTACAGACCCATTTCACTCCTAACAAATTTTTCCAAATTTTATGAAAGAGTTATGCATTCTCGATTACTTGAATTTGCAGAACGATTTGAAATTTTGTGTTATAATCAGTTTGGCTTCCGTAAAAATCATTCAACAAATCTTGCACTAATTCATTTAATAAATAAAATTTCATCCTCTATTGACCATAGGGAGATTACAGCTGGTGTTTTCTTGGACCTCTCAAAAGCTTTCGATACTATTAATCATGATATATTATACCATAAACTTGAGCGCTATGGCATCCGCGGGGTAGCGTTGGAATGGATCAAAAGTTATTTTAACAATCGTACCCAATTTGTGCAATATAATAATGTTTTCTCCGTCGAAAAAGAAATCAGATGTGGCGTACCTCAAGGCTCAATATTGGGACCACTTTTCTTTATCCTTTATATAAATGACCTCCCGGGTGTTTTGCATTTAACCGAATCTTTATTATTCGCAGATGATACCAGTATTTTTTACTCTCACAATGATCCAGATGAATTAGCTAGAGTTATAAATGAAGAATTAGAATATATTGACTTATGGATGAAGGTTAATAAGCTATCCGTAAACACCAACAAAACGAATTATATCTTATTCAAAGGCAAAAACAAAAAAATTTATAAGAATATATCTATTATATTTGATAAAACCCAGCTAGTACAAAAACAAAGTATTAAATTTTTAGGAGTTGTGATTGATGAAAACCTTTCCTGGAAATTACATATATCTTATATTTGTAAAAAGATCTCAAAATCCACCGGCATAATCTTTAGATGTCGCTATTACTTATCTACTAAAACCAAATTATCCTTATATTATACTTTAGTTTATCCATACCTCACCTATTGTAATATAGTTTGGTCATCCAATTATAAAACTAACCTAAAACGGATATACTTGCTACAAAAACGAATTGTTCGAGCATTGACAAATTCGGATTATCGTGCGCATACTGCACCATTGTTTACTCAGTTAGAAATTCTTGATATCTACAAAATTAATGCATTTCATGTCGCCAAGTTTATGTTTTCCTATCACCACCGTTTACTTCCCCCATCTTTTCACAACTTATTCATTACCAGTCACCAAGTACACAGCTACAATACTAGAAGTTCAAACTCATATCGATCCCATCTATGTAAAACAAATACTAAGCAGTTTACAATTCTTTTTCAAGGTCCCAAAATCTGGAATTCACTGCCAAATGATATTTTAAAAACAGAGACTTTGAGTTACTTCAGGAGTAGAATGCTTAATTTCTTATTAGAAAGTTAATTCTATTTTAATCTTATTTTAAAACAATAACAATTATAACAATGATATCTCTTCACCATCACTAAAATATTTAATACATTAATTCCTAATCTAATAATCACTTATCTTAACACGGTCCCGCGAGGAGACATCCAATCTACAAGCCTTAAGGTTTCCGGATGCCTCCTCGCCGCCTACTTATGCATGTAAATAATTAATTTATATCTACTAAATTGTAGTAGCGTGGCAAATCAGAAATATAATAATAATGCAGCTAATCTCCTTCTTTCTATTGTGTTGCTAATTGTTTTCTGTTGGATTGTGTTAATTAAGGATTGATTGAATATTACCACCAATCACAGGTTTGTTATGCAAAGAAGTCAATTCCTGCCAGAGGAACTAGTATTGCATTTTTTTTCAACCGTTCCTGGTCATGTCTAAAATAGTGTGTATATGTGATCACTTGGATTATCTATCCATGCATACCAGCTTATAAATTCCACCAAGTGAAGTGCGAATCCCAGTTTTTCAAGTCCATCTTTTGACACATCTATATTTGCAGCAAATTGCCTCGGTTTGAAACCCTCATTACTCAGAGCAATTATTTGTTCTCTAACTCCTTTACTGAACTTTAGGTGCTCATGCATTTAGAGGATTATTTTAACTTCTGTCCTCATTTATTATGGCGAAAAACAGAATGAAAGGCGCGTGGGAGACAATTGCAGACACAATGCGCATGTAAAGTGCTCCTACCATTTTTTAATCATACCTTTCAACTATATTTCAATCATCATCAGGAGTGAGTGACAACTAAATGATGATTAAAGTTTTGCATGATTGAAACGTCAAGATTAAAAAGGTTGTCTTTTTTCGGACTTGGCAATGTTACGAGCTCAGATAAAATATAACAAAAAGAAATTTTTATGAATCTTTGAGCACGTCGGAAAATTTAAGGAAAATGGAAAGTCCTTAAATGAGAATGTGTTAATCTTTACATAGCAATGCCAGAAGCGTAGCCAGGGCTGGGGCCCGGCTCCCCTGGCAAAATTGTTGCCCCCCCTGATAAAATGTATTGTATAAAAAGGGAATCCTGGATTATATAGCTTCATGCTGTCAATAATGCAAAAATTCTGTAGAATATATGCTTTGTTGCGTATCGGTGTGAAACCTAAAATCTTGTTCTCTTATTTGCGGCACACAGCTTGAAATACATACCTTTTCTAACCCTAACTATTTCAATACGTATTAGATGAGGGTTAGATGAAGTTTAAACTAGTCTTTTTTTTTACCAGTGAATTTTTAACGCGGATTCGGTAGTGGCGCCGTGGCCAGGGAGAGACCCATTGGAAAATTGAGACCCGTCGGAAAATTGTCAATGTTGTCGGAATCTTCGTGGTGAAGCATCGGAAAAAGTGATACGGAAATCGGGAAAAATGCTATGAAAGCAATTGTGATGTTATTGTCCGGAAAAAGTTTTTAACGAAAAAGTTGTTGACGGGAGGGGGGGGGGGGG